CTTGTAGAAGTTTCAGCAAGACTGAGTTCTTCCAGTGCCCTCTGCACATTTCCCACAAATTCTAATGTGTACAAATTTGGGAGGGGGAAATAGGAGTGGGAATGGCAGGGAAGGGGGTGGACAATACCTAAGGGCTCTATCCAAGCTTAGTTCTTCACAATGCAAAATTGTGCACCTATTCAGAATCTGGTCTGCTCAAGGGCATTCCAGTTTCTGAAGTGTTACATTCTTCCTGGTCAATGAGTCTAACTGCATCTTTGTTTTCCCAGAGTTCACTGCAACACAGGCGCTGAGTATGTTTGGAAATCTTCATCGCAAAGAGTGAACAGCAGCCAAGAAATAGTCTTTCTCCTGTACCAGCACCACATGGGGAGTGTGGGAAAGAGAAAAGTAGGAAACTAGCCAGTGGGATGGTTGAGCTTAAGCCTTCATGGGCCAGAATGATGCAGTGCTCAGAGCCTTGGATTGGAGCTGAGGAGGTTCAGGTCTTATCATTCCCATTGGACCATGAAGCTCATTTGACTTCAAGCCATTCGTTGCCTCTCAGCCTGACCTCCCTTTCTTCCGCTCTCCTTCTCCCTCTCCCAAGATTTGCCTCTCCCTCTCTCTCAGGCTAGCATGCTTCACAGGGTCATCACGATACAAAAATGGAGAGAAGGGAAGTCCACAACGGAGTTAACTATATTCAGATTTTTATGAATCAGACCAGCAAATTCTGCAGAAGCCCATCTTTTCCTGAGTGGTAAAGTACTGCTAACTCTTTCCTTCTTACAGGGGTAGGGCAGAACTCTGTGTAAATGCACTTTAGCACCAGTACGCATTTTTAAAAGCAGAGTCCTGAATGCTTTCAAATGCAGGGACTGTGACGTGTTTGCATTATTTGTGAGCAGGAGTGGGAGCAAGATCAAAGACACCGAACAATCCATGATGGAATAGATCTAACCATATGTGTACATCTCTACCCATGGCTGTAGTATTCCATTGCACATCATGCACTCATGGGCCCCATCATTTGTGCTACTGGACTTTGGTCAACCTATGAAGAACTTGAAATCAGCAACAGCAACAAAAGAAGAGTGTGATAGCTACTTTGAAGAAAATATGGAATCCAGTGTAATTAACTATGATGGAGCTACTCTTCAGTAGAATTTGGAGTGCTACATATTTTGATTCAAGATCATATTTAAGGACCCTTACAAAGTTTTTAAAAAATCAGGGAAAAAAGCTACCAGGAAGAATATAAAGCAGCAGTTTATACAGGGTGAACTGATTATCAGAGAAGTTGGTATAGATCTTCCAAGCCTAACATCATTCTCCAAAACTAGATTCTCGTGCATATTCCACAAGAGCTGCTTTATACAGTTGATCACAGCTGGATAGAAATGAGTCACATGAGAATTCCAACTTGCTTCAGCATTTCATTTTGCTCAAGCAGATGTGGTTTTGGGCACTGCTGACAGACTTTGCCCTAATATGTCTCCTTAACAGTTTGGAGAGAGAGAGAAAGTTTGATTAAGAAAATCATTAGCAACAAATGCTGGAAGCCATTTACTTCTTTCCAGGGGCAAACCTTTTGAGCATGAATGGAGCTACAGCAAATGAATTCCCAGTATTGTTGCAAAACTGAAGTTCAAGCATGTTTAGGCCATGTTTCTCCATTAGAGAAATGGAGCTCAAAAAGTTGAAGTTGGTTCCTCCAGATGTTTTGGACAACAATCCCAGAAGCTCCAGTTAGCATGGTCAATGGTAGGGATTGTGGGAGCTGTAGTCCATAGTATTATCAGAGCACCAGTTTGACCATTTCATCCTGACCAAAATGCTCCAAGGTTTGCAGCATCCTTCTTTATATGGGTAGTAAAAAGCATTGTGTTGGAGGCTCGTTCAGAAGGAAGACTTGTGACAACTGGACTGAGCTGTATAAATCTAGTAGGGGCGGCCGTATTCCCACACCCAAACATGCCTCTGGAATGGTGCTTACCTCCTGTATGATTCAAACAGAAGGCACTGGAGAGAACTGCAACCTCTCAGCCCAGCAAATGCAGCTTCAGGTGCAAGGACAGAACCCCTAAATGCTGATGCTACCAACACAATAAAATTCTGTGGTCCACTTATCACCATTTTTAGCATGCATGTATGCACATGCACGCACACACACACACACACACAGAAAATGTTTTCCACCACTTGCAACATGACTTCTAATGTCTTAAAAGTCAACACCCTGGCAGGGCTTAGGATAGACTGAGACCTCCAATATCTGAGCCCTCTGTTACATCCTATAGAATGACAGATCCAGCCATTCCTACTTTCAGCAAGATTTCAGGAAATGCCCTGCAAAGATTCATGTTGTTTCTGTTTGAACATTCACTCATTCATCCGTATTTTCGCATACTGCCCCATTCGCCTAGAATGTAAAACCAACACTGAATCACATTTAGATTAAAAAGAAACATATGAAATAAAACTAATCTGGGAAAGACTGTTGGAACAGATACATCTTTAACTCCCTCTTGAAGGTGACAGCCTGGGACATCTGATGCATCGCTCCCAGCAGGCCATTCCACACTTTAGGGGGAACCGCTGAGAAAGTCCTCTGGGTAGTTGACATTAATCTTGCGGAGGCAAACTTCAAAAGATGTCCCCAGAGGACCACAGTGGGCAAGGCAGAACATATGGGGGAAAGGCGTTCCTGAAGGTATTTTGGACCTGAGCCATGGAGAGCTTTAAAGGTATTTACCAGCACCTTGTAAAATCATCCATTATCACCATCCATTTAATGAGAAGCAGTTTATGCTTTCCTAATCTGCAGAGCATCCAAATTCAGAGAGAGAGAAAAGTGGGAGGGGGAGGAGGAGGAGGAGGAGGAAAGATCACACACCATTTGTCACCACATTAGTGATAATTCACAAAGAAATGTTAGCTCTTGGAGGCAAAGCTGATGGGCAGAAGGGAAGAATGTTATTGACTCTGACAGATTGCTGATGGCATATACACTCCCTGGATCAGAAACAGAGCTGCATTTAGACAAGTTTAACACAAAACAGGGAGGGCAGGAGGGGAAAAGGAAAGAGTCTTGCCTGCTTGCTTGTTCATTAAATTTGTATAAAAATCGGTATAAAAGCTGCCTATTAGCATAATGCCTTCCTTCCTTGGCATTGTTTAATTTTCTTTTCACCTCTTCAGGTATCTAGCTTTTGTTTGTTCCTTGGAAAACTCTGCCATTTGAGGCTGTCAGTTTCGAGATGTAACGTGTGCTTCAGGATTCCGTTAAGGACCCTGATCTTGAACTAGGGTCGGGTAGGGGCAGGTTTCTCAGGAGGTACGGCAGAAAGAGACCAGCACCAGGGACAGCTCCAGGTGGTGCTGGGGCTCTGCACCAAATAGGGTTGCTTCAATTCAACCAGAGCAAAACAGAAACTTCAACAGGAGCCTCCTGATCTGGCTAGCTCAACCTCTGCATTGACTGAGATATCGATCCTTAAAGAGGCCTGGCTTGCTTCAGCTGCTCTCAACTGTCCTGACTTGGGACTGGTTGCAGCATGCCAAGGTGCTCATGAGCTGGGCACTCAGAGCAATCAGCTGCAGCTTCAAGAACTGGAGATTAAAAATGATTAAAACCCACCAAGTTGGCAGCATGGATGCTATCCTTACATGCGCATAAATGCAGTTCATTGCTAGAAAGGGATGCAGGCACCCCTAACAGCAGCACAAGGTCCTGGCACAGTAAAAGATGTGGTGGTAGGGTGTCCATCTGGCCTCCTTTAAAAGAGGACTGTCTTCTCTTTAAAGAACTGCCACAAGATGGTCCTGTAGTTGAATGGCCTACATTCGACATTCAGTCCTGTCCAATTTCAATTTAAAGATCAAGAACCTTAAAAGATCCTACCCATTCACAGCTACCATCTGAACAACAGCCCAAACAGATGCTGTCTTACACAATAGGGTGAGATGTATTGCATTGCTATTTCAACTATAGTAGTTATTTCTAAATGTGAATGTATGCATATGAAACCACATATATGTCTTTTATGCATACATGTCCCATTTTTCTCCGTTAGGGTCTCCTTTTTGCTGATTCCGCCTTGGGCACCCTCTAGAAAAGTCGCATACCAAAATATGATGGTCCAAGCTGAGAAGCAGCAGATGTGGTTATTGCAATACAGCAGTCCTTCAATAAATCTCTGTGTTCAGTTCAACCAAAGACAATATTTGCAATGAATCGGTAATAATGACCCACCTGTTTCCTTCTCTCCCTGGCCTCCACAAAGGAATCTGGCAAAAGTCAGCCAGGACAGGAAGTGGATTGCTTAGAGCTAGGGAGATCACAAGGGGTCCTAACCCACATGTGTAGAGGGTGACATGTGCTATGATGCCAGCCACCTGGCCAAGGAGGTGGGGAACACATGCTTGGTCCTTGCTGCACTTGAGAAGCATTGTGTTCTATACTGCACCTGGAGGGAGAGCGGTGCATTAAATCACTCCATTCATTCTTTCTCCCAGGTGTCCTTTTCCTTCCACCTTTGAAATGTGAAACCTCTCCCCACAGCTTGCTTCTTGCTGCAGACAGAATTGCCAAGGGAATCCAAGCAACTTCCAAAACAAACATACCCCGATTTCTGATTCAGCCAGCATGTAGCAGAGGTGGTTGAAAACTAGAAGGCGGGGAGGGGGGTGTCAAGGCAGGAGCCATGGGAGTGAATTTGTTGCTGCCAGGTTCGATTGGAGGAAAGATGTTTTCCAGGACTTCACAGGGTGCTGTGCAGCAAGGAGCCCTGTGAAATGGGGGAAGAGAATGACAGGGCTTGCCGGGTTCTAAGCAGCAAACGACTGCATTCTGAATCATGAATGTGAGTTGTGGCCTGTAAATCAATGGTACTGCCAAGATAGAGTGGGTGTAATCTCAGTATATGAGGAAGCCCAATGACTCTGCTGAGCTGCCTTCTCCTCTCTGAACCCTGCCTAGCTGCCCAGACCATCACCTGAAGCTCTGCATCACTTACCTCCACATCTGGATGTTTGGCAACAGGCTCCCAGGGGTAGGATCCCTTCCCACCTGTAGAACCCCACGATGAAGCGTGTCCACCTGACAGTGATGGCATGATCTTTCTGCTGCGAGGCCCAGCTTCCCCTTTTCTCTGGGGCTTAGTATGCATCCAGTTGTTCAGAACAACCCAGCAGTGCAGGAAGCAACTCTGTAGAAGCTGAGAATGGATGCACCAGGCCTGGACCTGCATGGGATTATGACAAGGATGACATTTTATGCTTTACATGTTTTCCTCTTGCAAGGAACCCAGGGTGGTTTATATGATCCTTTTCCTCTCCATTTTAATCCCACAACAGTCTTGAGAAGTAGGTTTGGATGAAAGTCTGCGACTAGCCCCAACTCATTCAATGAGTTGTATGGCTGAGCAGGGACTAGATCCCAGATCTCCTGAGTCCCAGTCCAGCATTCTAACCACCACACCATACTGGCTTTACGTCTCTGCTTTCTTCAACCCCAGTGCATTGTTTCCTCCTGCCGAAGACCATGAGAGTTGAGCCTCAACAAGCTGGTCCTTCTCCCCTGTTGGTGAGATTGCACAAAGCAATCTGAGCTTTCCATACAACCTGCACTCCTTGCCTTTCCTCAGCGGTGGCCCCTTGTGACTTGCGATAGCTGAAATTAGCCACCAGTTCACCCCTGTAAATCTTGGATGATGGTTCCCTCTTCATCTGCATGTGAGCTTTTGCATGGTTTACTGCAAACACGGGAACACTGAGGATGGCTTCTGGATGGTTTGCATCATGGATGCTTTGGGAATGGACTGCCCCCTCTATGTGCTGACCCATAGTAATCTTAAAGTTGTGCCTCCATTCAATAAAGGCATGGGCATATTTTCCCCCACCCAAACCCATAAACTTGGCCTCAGAGGGCACCCACATTAATCGGCCTTGAATGAACCAATTTGTTTCCTTCCCCCCGTGTTGATGTTTGGGCTCTCCACTTCACATACCAGAGGAAAGGTTAATGCCATCTTAATTGGTGTTGGCCTTTGCTGAGTTAAAGGTTAACAGCTGCCTCCCATATGTTAATCCAAACTTGAAAATCTGCCAATGGGCTGTGCATGTTTCAAGGGTTAAAGAAAAAATATAGGCCTGGTTCTCCTCCGTCCTAAAACACCAGTAAAGGCCGTAGCAAGAATATTTGGGATGTATTGAATAGAAAGGCCCAGGGAATGCCTCATGCTCATTCTGAAGCTGGTTTTCTAACTGTTAGACCATTTATAACAGCTCAAAGTGAAGCCCTGCAGTTTAGGAAGGGTCATGATTTCCCAGCTGAACCTGCTGCAATGTTAAGAAATCCTTTGGTGGACCTTCTGCAGATATTCCTGCCCCTGGAGGCTCATCTGTGAAGTGACCCACTGGGTGATTGACAATTTAGGCCATGTTCAGTGGAGTTGTATGGGGCAATGAGGCCTTTGGAAACAAAGTCTGAAGGGAAAGTGTCAGACATGTTTCGCTCAGGGAAAGGTTGTCCAAGGAGAGACCTGATAGCTATCTTCAGATATCTGAAAGGCTGTCATGCAAAAGATGGGGCAGCCTTGTCCCTTCTTGCTCCAGAGGGTAGAACCAGTGTGTGGAAGCTAGAAAGCAGCCAAGATCAGGTAAATACCCAGAGAAATAGGTAAGAGCTCTTTACCATAGAAGAGGTTTCCACACAGGGTGGGAGGTTCTCCTTCACTGAAGGAATTTAATCAGAAGCTGAATGGCCAACCATCAGGAATCCTTGACTTGCATCCTGCATCAAAGATACATCAAATAAGGGGTTAGTCTAGATGACGTCTCAGATCCCTTCCAAGGTAAGTGTACATTGGCCTACTTCCTTATTTTCTTTCTAAAGAGGGCAGGGGTCCCAAGCCCTGAAAAAGCTTTTGATTTCTTTTTACCGAGGAAGCAAATGCCAAAAATGCTATTTTAAGCAGCTTTCTTTATCTGTAGGTCAGTGCTCAGCTCGACCCAACTGTCCAGAGAAGTTTGGCAGAAGAGGAACTCGGTCACAGCTGCATCAGCTGTGTCATCTAAAGAGGCAGGAAGACAACTCTATAGCTCGACAGCACAGAACCTCCTCCACAAACGAGACCTGGCACATTCCGACTGCAGAAAAAACCCTTTTGGCAATTTGATTTTGTTCTTTCTTTTATTGTATGCCTTTTGGAGAAAACCTATCCCATTCTTTTTTTGACACAAACAGATGATTCCTCCAGTGGAGAGACAATTCTCTGCCAGATTCAGGCATGCGCCGACAGGAATTACATCTCCTAATTACCATCTGGCTGGCGCCTGGAATGTTCACAGTATTATTATTATTATTTTCCACCAGTTGCTAAATAAGTTAATCACTTCTTGAACAAGGAAATCGGCGGATGCCTTTGAGGCTTTGTTAACATAGCCTCTAAGCCAGCTTTACCCTACCTTCTAATCCTCTTTAAGACAGTATGAGGCACTGAAGTACCCTATAATCAGTTTTTAAGGTTAGAGACAATATCCCCACTCAAGCTGGTTGCCCAGAGCAACGGTGCAGGAACTGAATAATATTTGCAATGAGATTGGATTACTTGCCTTGTTTATTCATTCTCATATATATATATATATATATATATATATATATATATATATATTCACACTCCCATATGCTGTCCTTGCAGGAGTTAAGATTTAGCATGCCACGTCATAAAGCAAGAATATGAGGCAGAGCAGAATTTATGGGGGTGGCAGGGTGTGTGGGGGGTGATTTCTCAGACAGTTTTCAGAAATTAATCTGTCATTGCACCAATCCCTTTTACTCTGTCCCGTGCAACTCTCGACAGACATGACAGTTCAAAAATATTCCAGGAGTCAATCACATCTGCAGCCTTGACCTGGGTGTCATGGTTGGGAGACAAGCTATCATGTGTTAAATAGATCCTGCAAGTGAGATCTTTTCTTCGGAGGAGGCATGATAAAAAAAATTAAGGTAGCATACCAGGTTCACTCATCAATAGCAATTAATCATTTAGAAAACAAAGGCAGCTTGGTTGGGCTACATGAAACTCCAAATGCACATCTGGGCAACACCTTTATGAGAATGTATTCAAATGGGGTGCAAGTGCTGAGGTTCTCCAGCTGCTACAAAGAGCAGAAGACAGGAAACGCAGCATCAAGGCTTTCTATGTTGCTTCCCATTGCAGACAGGTCTTCAAATCACGATTCAGAGTAAGTATTCTTGTTTATGCAAAAATATACAGACAAGCCAGTCTTGCTTCGATAAAACACCCCATGGAAAGAAAATTGATGCCAGACTCATGGAAAATAGTTACAGCCCTTCTGCTCAGGTTGGCCATGCTAGAGCTGATCCTTAGTGGGGCGAGTTCTTAGGCAGGTAACATCTTTCACCAGTGTGCTAGTTTATGTTGCTCCTCTCTCCTTCTTTGACACTCAACCCCGGAGTCTGCAAACTCTAGTCCCTCCTTCCTCTTCTTCTGCTTTAGTATCCTTGTCTGCACAGTTTCAGAATAACTTTAGACCTCTGCAAAGTATCCCCACCTACCTCATCTGCTGTAGCCCTCAAACATCAACCATTTTGACCAGCCTCTCTCCATCTTCATTAGAGTTTGAATCCAATCTTGTGCTTGTTGACATGATTCTGTGGAGGTGATGGGAAACTCCCTAACAGATGGGAAGCCCCATATACTGAATTAGTCCCGTGGTCCATTCAACTCAATATACCCTACATCAACTGGCAGTGGCTCAGCAGGGTTTGAGATATGGGTCTTCTTGGTCCTACTAAGGATTCTTGGGACTGAACCCAAGGCAACTGCTCTGTGTCTCTGGTGTAGGGGGTGTGTGTGGGGGTGGGGGGGCACATAAATTAGGCCAAGTGCTGTGACCATATATCAGACTCAGTCTGGACTGCAAGTTGAGTTCAACTATCTTGACTAGGGGTTGGGTTGGGGCTCTGCAGGTGTCAGATTGCACCTGAGATGTTGGGACAAAGAAGCCACGGTGGACCCAACCTCACACTCCATCTCTGAAAACAAAGAGGTTGGTTGCTACCCTTTTGAGGTACACTGTCCCCCAAGATTACCTGGCAGAAAAGCGCTTGGTCAGGCAGAAGATAGAATATAAACACAACAGTTCCTACAAGACCTCATGAGAGCTCAACTGCATCTCACAAAATCTTCTACTGGAGCTTACAAGGCCTAGCTAAGTTCCTCTTTCTTCTGGCTGAAGATTCTGCCATTAATAGCTGAACACGATCTACAAAGACACATGGCAATCAAAGAGAGCCATGGTGGCCCTTAAGCAAAAGAACTCAGTAAGTACTATTACTAGCACCATAACATAGTCCCTGGCAGGGCTCATGTAGCTCCTTTGCCGAACCTGCTGCCCTAGTCTATCTTCATGGAACCCTTACAAATCTCTCTTGGAACAAATAAATAGCCCATTATTGCTAGTGAGACATCATCAAAGTGGCGAGCCTGGGTTCATCTGTCTGCTGTGGGGGGGAGCTTGTAATATCAAGCTCGCGCCAAGGAGCTTATAAGAAACATACAAATAGTTCTGAGTAATCCACTCCTAGTGCAATCAGTGCCAACTTGCCAGCAGAAGGCAGTGAGACATAGGTCCAAGCTGAAGAGGGAATAGTTCAAGGAGAAGAGGAGGACTGTGCTGACTGTAGGTCTTACCATTATTTATCTTCTTTACAGTAGGAAAGACACGGCTCCATGTTCAAGCAGATTTCAGAGTAAACACTAAAAAAGACGGAGCAGATGTTGTTGTGCTATGCCATCTAGTTTTCTCTGACTTATGGCAACCCTATAAATGCATGCCCTCCAAAATGCCTTGTCCTTCACAGCCCAGCCCAGCCCAGCCCAGCCCAGCCCAGCGCTTGTGAACTCAAGGCTGTGGCTTCTTTCATGAATTGATGTGTGTCGTAGTCGGTCTCCCTCCTCCTCTTCTGGCATCAGCTTTCCCTAGCATGTCTCTCCTTCCTCTCCAGTGGGATGAAACAGTTAGAAGAATGAAGAATACAAAGAACGCACTAGAAACAGGATAACGTTGGACCTATGACTGTTCAGAAAGGAAGGTGCCTGCAAGAAAGATGTCCTCAGTAGGTGCCGTTAACAGCACTGGGTCAGAGCCTGATGACCTCCAGGGGAGTTTCAAAGGAAATTCCATTGAAATGAAGCCATCATCTTGGAGGCTCTTCTGACACACTAGGTTTGGTCCACTGGAACCACCAGGAGAACCTCACCTTACGACTTCAGTGAGAAGGTAGGTTGGCAGGGGAGAAGGAGCTCCCTCGGGTATCCTGGCCCAATTTGTTCAGAACTTTGTACATTTGTACCCTTGGGAAAGGGACCTTCACATGACTCCCCTCTCACTGAGTCTGTCTTCCCACTGCCATTGTCACCAGTTCCTCCTCAACCTCTTTCACGCCATTGCCTGCCGGCTGCTTCCTTTCCAAGCTGAGTGCCGTGGAGCCAGGAAGCCATGCCCTCTCCTGGACCTCCTTCTCACCACCTCCACTGTCTGCTCCACAGTGAGAGACAGGTGACCAGCAGGTTGCAGCGGTGAAAAGGAGCAGCAAGTCTGTGCAGATTCGACAATCCCATATATCCCTTCAGCCAAACCCCATTTTGCCTTCTCTCCCTAAGAGTACAATCCTATACATACCTGCTCAAGATGGAAGCTCCGCTGAATTCAATGGTTCTCCTGAGTGGACATTATGAGGTTACACTCTCAGTTCACCTTGATGGGAAAATCCCACCAACATACTCCTCCCGTGGCATCTGGTGCCTCCCCACCCAGAAATAAGTCCTATTGCGTTCTGTGGGATTTACCCTCTGGCAAGGGTGAATAGGATTGCAGCCCTCAAATTCTATTAATTCAGCCTTCAATTAATTGATGCTTTTCATTTCCGTACAGTTCTAGCTATTACACAACATCAGAGACCTACTGTTGAAGGTTATTTTTCCCTGTCTTTTATTAGCTTGAAAGAAACAAATATGTAAGCAATGACCAAACAGATCAGACCAGATAACTGGATCAACAGGTAACTATGCTATTCATTGTAGATTTGTATTCCAAACGAGGGAAGTTATGTCATGGAACGTGGGTAAGCAGCATGGCTGCAATGAGCCATTAATTTGGTGTTGGGATGCAAGAAATTGCATGCTACCTTCTTGTGGAGAGGAAGATTGTGATTCTACCTTCTTGTGGACAAAAAAGGCAGGATTCCACATGTGGATTTGAGGCTGGATTGTGCTGAGGCCCCTGCAAGGCATCGCAGGTGTCTGGTTTCCCATGAAGTCCTCCATTGCTTCACCCAAAGAGGAAGTAGCGAAGTGGGAAAATGACAAGCCAAGCACCCACTATTCCCTCGTTAGGCTCTAGGTGGCAATGTGGTAACACCACAGCTTCTCACTGCCAAAGAATGGATAAATTAAGCCTTGAGTGTCTGGACTCCTTCATATTATCCTTTCTACTGAAATCATTTTCCTGGCCTACTTTTCTCCCCTCTTTTCCTTTTTTTTTTCATCCCAAGAAATTATTTATCATCAGAGACTGTGGGCATGCAAAGAAACATCCATCAGAGGATAAATTTGTTTATCTGAGGCATTTCATTAGGTGCCTTAGGTAAAATGACATAATCACCTCCTGCAGAATACTTTTTTTGACTGAGCAAACACTGTCCTTGAACAAACTTCGCAAAGAGGTCTGTCAGAAGCAATTGCTACTAATAGGAGACCCGAGTACACAGAAGGAGCCAAGGAATAGCTGTGGCAGATGTGGATTGCTCAGCTGGAGGGTACGATGGTGGCTGCTGTATTTTACTGAAACACAGCAGGGCTGGTACCAGCACCCAGCCCCTGCAAGGAACTGCGTAGGTCCAAGAAACCCATAAGGATAATCTTCTGCCCTTGACTAACCCATGAGAGCTTCCTGGGAGGAATCCCCATGCAACAGTGGGGATCTGTGAGGAATCCATTCTGCGGGTGAGAATCCATTTGATTCCCAGGGCTCAGCTGCCTGGACTCCATGAGTCCTAGTTCCTGGCATGCAGGCCCAGCAGTTGTGTGGTGGAATCAAGCCCCACATTCTGTGCAAGCAGCATCCTTCTTTGGCATCATGTGAAGCAGTCCTTTTTTGTGCTGCTGCGTGTGATTGGAAGAAGGTTGTTCACACGGTGGTCCCCAGGAATGGAGCTTCCTCCCCCTGCTGCCGTAAAAAAACTTAGAAGCACCACATGTGATGTGGAAGAAGCTTGCCTGTTGCACAACCGTCTTTCCTTGAGCATGCACAGACTCCGTCTTGGCTCAGCTAGCTTTCCAAGACAGGGCTGAGCACGAGAGAAAGTTCACTAATGCACAGATCCTGCAAGCTTCGATGCACCCCTAGGTATAGTCTGGGAGCAGCAGCAACGGCAACAACAAACCAGCTCTGGACTGCAGCTCCTTCATTAGATTGTTCTTCTGGTAACTGTCAGACACAAGCAGCTCAGAGGGACCAAACATGGCCCTCCCCTAACTCTGCTGGCTTCCCACTGCTTCATGGTCAGGCTGGCCCTGCACGTCTTGTAGAAAAGATGAGAAAAACCAGCCTGGATACGTTTATGTAAATGCAGAGTGTAATAGAGCTCATTTGCATCTGGCAGCAACCCACATTTATCCTCATGTTTGAAAGAACAATTTGCTGTAATGGGCAGCTCCTATTAAATCTGTGTACAAGTTTCCTTATGATGTCTTGTGGTATGCACATATTCTTCTTATTTTTAATCTGCATTTTACATATAGCAAAATCACACTGAGCAATAGCATCTGCCTGAGGTTACCCAGCAAGGCTGTTCTTATTATGCATATTAATATTTTTCAGTTGTTTATTAGATTAGTACCATCTGCCCTGGTAAGAAGCACAGAGCTAAAAGTATGTTCTGTAGACCATTTAGACTAAATCGGCAACAGGTGTCTCTCCAGCCTGTGCTTCAGGGTTAGGGAATTTTGGGAGGCCTAAAGGCATGTTCTGGTGCAGGGGCCCTTCTGTGTAGCCACTCCTCCCCTCCACACATGTGTCATGAACATATCACTCCAGCAGATGCAAACAGACGGCTTTGGAAATTCAGCCCTTTATTTGAACTAGGCAGGTTTTTTGCAAGGAAGGGTGCTTCAAAAGAAGGTTGTTCTCAAGGAACATCAAGAAAAGTAAGATGCCTTCCAGCTCTGTGAGAGCAGCTCTTGCTCATCTGAGCAGTCAATTCCAAACTGAAGACACTCCCCCAACCTTCTTTCCCAAAAAGCTTGAGTCCACCCTCAGGGAGGTTCATGCTGCTGATCAGCAGGAAGCCAGATGTGACTTAGATGGCCCACTCTCCTGCCTTGGATGGCTGAATTTATACCTTTCTACTGTGTCTGCCCCTTAAGCTGAGGCAGTTTGGTTCTCAGCAGCACCCTGTCAAAGCTCACTCATTTACCTTGACATTTCTCTGCCACATTCCAAGCCCTCTCCTTCTCCATCTAGTTCACATTTCGAGTCTAAAATTTCTACTAGGAATGTTTCATTCTGAGAGAAATGGGCCCCATCTCCATCCCATGATGCAAAAACTAAAATGGCAGCTGCAGAGTGCCCAAAGGGTCAAAATCAGTTGCTTTCATACCAGTTTGACCCCTTAGAGTCAAAAAGGTTGTGATGGCTTCAAAATGGCCAGCAGTCACATGTGGCCCATGGGCCGCCAACATCCATTGGTTGACTCTCTTCCTGTTTTACTATGTCCTCTGGTATGTTTAGTCACCTCCTTGTCTTACCTGAGCCTGGTGCTCAGCAATATGACCAAGGGGAAAGCCAGGGAGGGATGGAAGCCCCTCCTGATGGATTTCAGAGTTAGGGATTTCTACTAAGATCATACCGAAAAGGCATCTCCACACCCTGCCCACACCCCAAAATGCCAACGCATGAAGGAGGAGCAATTATGCAAAGCATGCTACGCAGGAATGATGGAATCAAACATGTCACTCAGGAGGACCACAATGTATGCTCTGTCCTCCAAGACCATAGGGGACAAAAATGACACATTTACATTTAGCAGTGTCAGAGGTCTCTGTGATGGATCAAAGCAGTCCGCAGCAGGCTGACATTTTCCAGGCTGCATGGATTCCATGATTTTTTCTTCCTAGAACTGTATGCAAAGTGAGCCATACAAACTTACGGAAGTTGCCAGAAATTTTTGCTAATGCAAAGTAGGCTCATGTTTATGCCGTTTTATAAGATGTGTCCTAGGCAGTTGGTTTTTAATGGAAATAGCTTTTTATTGTTATTTTTGATTGAAAATCATTCTTATGGATTTTTATTGAGTAAATATTTATTGCATGTTTCTATATTGGCAATCTTGTTTTAATGGACCTTTTACTGAGTGTGTATTGATGAAATTCTTAGCGCAAGACTTCTGTGCGCATTACCTTGTGGCTGGGCCATCCTCGTGGGAGGCCTAGGAAAAAATTTTTCATAAATAAATAGGACAGATCTCTCAGTTTTGCTTCCCCCACATTCCATTTTTAAAAACAAAGTAATCTTAGATTCTTTCCATCCTATATGTGAATACAATAATAAAATGTTATTGTTACCACCATGGATTATAACAAAACAAAAGAAAATGAGCTAAACATATGATCATAAAATATGCTATCATAAAAGCAACAAAGACAGATAAATAACAATAGTGTGTAACCAGTCAAACTTACTTAAACCTCTTCTTGGAGAGCAGAAGAATTGGCTTATTCTTTACTTAGAATAAGAGCAAAGTCCACCTTGATGAAGCCTAGAATCATCTTAGAAGATGATGTAAACAAAGAGATGAGAAGCAATTTATGAAGGAATTTGCAAATTTGGGTAAATTCTTATTTTTAAAAAGGCACTGACATCCTCACCCATCCCTGTGTGCAACAAAGACAGACTGGGGTACCTTTGAATGATATACTCAAGATGCAGGTGCTACAACAGATCGTAAATTTAGTGCGGGGAGGAAGGCAGGGTTCAGGATCCCTCCTGAGGACATGTCCACAAGCAGAAAAGGCAGCCCAGAATAAGACCTTGTGTGATAACGGTGTTTGCCCAGCTTTCTCCATCCCTCCTTCTCCAGATGGCTTGCAGGTTCTGCCTCTCCACAGTGGTGACTCACTCACAAACTAACAGATTGCATTCTGCCCAAAGGGAGGGCTGCTCTACCAAGATGATTCTCCCTGCCGCAAAGTTATCAAGAAATGCCAGATGGGTCCCTGGCATGTAGAGCCTTAGGCTGTGCAAGTGAGATGGAGAAGCTGTGGAGAAATTCATTGCAGAGGCCGGCAGCCAGATTATTTATCCTCAACAGGAGAGAGAGGTGGAGGCAGCATCAATAATGCACCAGTGTTTACCAGCACCTGCAAAATAGGGAGCTGTTTGGAGGGTCTCCTTCCTCTTTAAACCTTGTTTTAAAGGGTGTTGAGGGATGAGCCGAGCTCATATACAAAACATGGCATTAAATTCAGCAGATGCAAACCCAAATTGGATGGATGCCTACCAAGAGCTGATACTTCGGTATGTTTTGAGAATCAAATACAGATTCTTAGTTGGTGATCAGTGGCATTTAGTGTGAACTGAGCAACATATTTACCTGTCTTGGTTATTTCTAAGGCTGGAATGAAGATAGCAGATGGATGGATGGTTGGATGAACAGAGTATAAAAGGCCAAAACAAAAGGCAGCTGCTCCAATTTTATAAGTTTGTTTCTTGATCAAGGGCAATCCATTTCTTCCAAACTTCCAAATAATGCTTAGAATTCCTATCCTATCACACAGCAATGGAGTTTTTAAAAGCTGTGAAGAAATCAATTGTCCATGATAAACAGAAGGCTCTTCAAGTGAATCTCAGAACAGCTGCCTTTTGTCCATCTTGGCCAGCTTCTTTCTGCCCTGCTCCAGCACGATGCTGAAGGTACCCTGGAAAGAGACCACAGAAGCAGGGTCAACTCACCACATAAGCCACACTTGCAGTGACAACTGCAGAAATAAAATGTCCATCGTGGCAAGACTTGGCACCATCATGCTAGCAACCCTCAACTGCCCAAAGAGCTTTCGTAACTCAGGTGAGGAGCCTGCAGCCCAGGGGTTCCACGACGTTCTTGTGGCCCTCAGCACCATCCTGGTCTCTACCCCTGTTGGGGTCACACCTGCTCTCTGGACCAGCCCTCCAGGCCTTCTTCTTCCACGGCCTCATGTGTTGGTGCACTAGAGAAGCGATGGGGTGGCATAGAGAGGGAAAGAGCTGTGCAGCTGTGCAAGCTTCACCCAACTTGGGGTTTTTCTGTGCCACCATCGGCCCAGGCTTCAACCACTATTGCCTGGAGATGACACAGACTTTTCCAGAGGCCAATGGTCCTTCAGAAGAAAAGGTTTCCTCTCTATCATCAGCACCCAAATGGAATCAAAATGAGGCCAGCATGGCCAAGGGGCCTCACAGCCACAGCTCCTCTAATTGTGTCAGTGATGACCCTGTTGCATTCCATCCCGTACCATCAGTGTGCCATTCCGGCAGGACTCGGGGCAAATGACCAAGGCCACACTGCACAGAAAGGGCAAGAGAGCCTCTGAACACAGCAGGACCAATGAGCCACATTTTGAAGTAAAGTGAAGTAATCTACATTACCATATAAAGTGGCCCCAGGAGGACCATGAAAGTCTGGATTCTAAAATTACCTAACTGCTCTACCAGATAAAGTAAGCAGACAGCAATTGGCAAGATTGGATGGGGGAATTTAAGGAGCAAGGTGTAGATTTATCCCCCGCCCCATGTTGTTCCTAAGTGCATCCATTTATTTATTGAAAATATTTTCTATTTCAACCTCCCAATGCATATAGCTTGCAAATCATACTGAAACCAACATCGTAATGATTCTTGTAAAAAATAGAAACATCTCTTCAGGCAACTCAGGCGTCAGTTACACCCTGGGGCAGCTGTCTTCGGCTGCTTCATCGTGGCTGGCTCTTTTGGAGCCTAAAGATAATTTCAGTTGTACGGGATATGCTCTCTAGGACGTCCCAGCTGGATTTCTGGGGGACTGGATTGCCCGTTTGTTTGTTCCCATTCCTGAAGGTCACACACAGATTGTCACACTGTGTCATGTGCCAGCATCCCCCTACTCCCTCTCACCCCCAATTTCCAAGCAGGTCAGGACAAATGGCTTCCAAACTCAAGTCTGTATTATGTTAAACCTGACTAGCTAGGCTGGCTTGGTAGTACAAAAGAAGGGCAGTGCAGAAGCCAGGAAGAAAAGAAACTCACACAGGTAGAATATTGGCCATGCAAGAAATGGGGCTAAAGGGTGGGAACCCAGTCTCAAACTGGAAGACTCCACCCCCAGTCTCAAACTGGAAGACTCCACCCTCAAGCTCAAACTGGAAGACTCCACCCCCAAGCTCAAACTGGAAGACTCCACCCCCAAGCTCAAACTGGAAGACTCTCTCCCCATCCCAAGCCCAAACTGGAAGACTCTCTCCCCATCCCAAGCCAAAGGATCTGCCTCCACCTTCAGGGTGATTCCTACTGTTAATGGGGACCTCCAAGAATTTCTGGCACTTCTCAGTTGTTCTGCTCTTTCCAACTGACTCTGGACAGCTGATGTTCAACCCACGCCAACACATCTCTGTATGCTCAACTGCAGTCGAAACTGCCTGCTTGTCCTCAGCCACGTGTCTTACCTCTGGGTTGGCTGGCCTTGGCCTTCAGCTAAGAATTCCGACCCTGCCTCTTCTTCCAGTCCCGATGCAGAATCTGAGACAACTTTTTGTAGGCTGCATTCATGGGAAGAGGGCCAACTCCCCATGCCCTGCCGGCAATGGCAGCCTTCAGCACATCAAGCCCGACTGCAGCAGCAAACATGACTTGCTAGACCCCCCGATGTGGGCAAGGGCATCCCTTTCCACCTGCCCCATTATGCTCCGGTTGTCCTACATGCCCGTACATTTCCCTGTTCTGCTCGCTGCAGTTGCTTCCTTGCCATCTGGGAATCCGTCCAAGCCACTTTCACAATGCTTCCTCTATTTCCCTCACTTTCAGCGGAGAAGAGCATTGTTTAGTCTATAATGGTTTAAGTAGGCTTTCACCCAGAAGAGGGTCAGTTGCAACAAAGCACTGACATTACGATAAAGGCTTAAAACCATCGTTTATGCAAAGCGTCCTGCTCTTGACAAACTGCCGCTCTCCTGACAAGTTTGAACAAGCAGAGTTTCACACATGCTTCACCCATTCACTGCTCAGGGAAGGGGTCTCCCCACCCACCATAATTTCCTATTTCTGCCTTCACCATTACACTCCAAGCACAGCGGTTCTGCTTCCTCTCGTCTCCCTTAAGCTTTCTGCATGCAAACCAGAGCGCTGCACCCCAGTGGAATGCAGCCCTGCATGTTCTGTGCATCCCACCTGTGACAGCTGCAGCCCACAGGAGACCAGGGGAAGCAGAGGAAAGCTGCCTTCTTGTGCCAGAGATGGAGACTGAGCCATCCTTATCTTAGGAACATTTCACTGGGGTGAAAAGGATTTCCTAGTTTGCATTATTTGCTATGCATGTTGCAAGCACGACAAGGTAGACGGGTTTTACTCTTGACAGAAAATCCAGCAGTGCCTGTTTCCCCAATCCTGCATCTTTCTTCTTCTCTGTGCTTATTTTTTTTCTTTCTTGCCTATCCTCACCCTCTTTTCTCCACCCTCAGCTTCAAACATACTGACTAGAGTAGACCATGTGATTTTGTTAATGGGGATAAACAGAAGTTAATACTGCTGATGAAATTAAATGGGAATGTGGCCACTGAGGAGGAGGAGGAGGAGGAAGGAAGGAAGGAAGGAAGGAAGGAAAAGATGGTTATAAGAAGCATCATTTAGAGAAGAACAGCAGTGCTACTTAACCTCTTCGTGTGGTGTAGTGGTGAAGAGCATGGGACTGGGACTCAGACGATCTGGGTTCTAGTCCCCGCTCAGCCATGGAGCCAACTGGGCAACTTTGGGCCAGTCACAGACTCTCAGCCCAACCTACCTCACAGGGTTGTTGTTGTGAGGATAAGATGGAGGAGGAGATGTAAGCTGCCTTGAGCCCTTTGTAGGAAAAAGGCAGGATATAAATAAATAAATAAATAGATATTTCCGATTCCATTGCAGAAAGAGTTCTATAGGTAGTTATTTCACTGCAGCAGAAGTTCGACAAAAAGTTAATCTCTTTTCCTGCATTTCTGCACTTTCTGCTAAAAGTTTCTAGCTATCCCCCAGTGGTATGGCTGAGTAATCTCTAGTGAGAACCTGATAGTTTTTGCAAAGGCCCAAAATACTGGATTTTTCCTACCAAAGGTGTATATGTGTAAAGAGGAAGGACAATGGCTTACAAATATAAAGATAAGTCCAAAATTAAATGAGGATCTGATTTCATTGTGAGAGCCAGTGTGGCGAGACGGTTGGAGCATCAGACAGGGACTCAGGAGATCCAGGTTCTAGTCCCATCTCACCATGAAGCTCCCTGGCATTGGGCTGTGATGCTGACACTGACTTCCAGCCTAGACTACCTCACAGGGTTGCAGTTCTGAGAAAAAAAAGGAAGAGAAGAACCTTGTAGACCAGTGGTTTTCAACCTTTCCACAGCTGGGGAGCGACAAAACCAGAAAAGCCGCCTTGGGGACTGCTGAGGCAGAAACAAAAAGCACCATATACATAATACAGTATTCTATGTATTCGTTTTCAAACACAATACTAAAAAATGAAAATTCTCCAAAGCAACCAGAAACCCTGCAACAAAGAATGCCAACAAAAGAACAGAATACCAAAATTGGCATTGTGTGGCTCTCCCTTCCCCACCCTGCCCCCAGCAGCACCAGTGTACCCCCCACAAATACGATGCCAACTGAGGAAGAGGTGGTGGAGCACAGCCAGCCCCCGCGCCAGTCCATGGCAAGCAGGATGTGGCCCCTGCATGGACTGGCAGGAAATTTCCCTTGCAGGAGTTCCTTCAAGAGGAAGAAAGGTGGGATATAAAATTAATGTAATAACAGCAACAGAATCTGCTTCTTGCTGCACATGTGTGTGCACACCCACACGCAGAGGGGGAGAGAGAGAGACCTGTCCAATTCAGCCTTTAATCCAATGCTTAATTACTTCTCTAAATTGCAGCAAAAATACATAAACAGGACACATTTACCAAGATCACTGATTAGTCTAAAATCCCATTATCAAAGTGATTTCAAAAGCAGCCGTTCGGGTTCCATGAAGGCAGCTGTTTGGGTGAAGTTCTAAGACTTAATCTTCCCCAATTTTCAATGCTGGCCCATTCTCTAATGGGTAACAACGAAGCAATTACCCTGCCTTTTGTTGACTGCGAGTGACGAGATAATGGTGTCCGGAACCATTCTTTCCACATCATGTTAATACAATGAGAAAGCAATGCTTCTGACAGCTGGGCTCATTCCCCCAGTGGGACCGAGCATACAAGGCTCCCTAGGTATGATTGGCACACGGACATGGTTGATATTCCCTGCACAGAGATCTGGGGCTTAATTTGAGCCGTGGCTCTGCTTTTGGAAGTATTCAGAATGAAATGCCTTTGACAAGGGCTTACCCGTATTACGAAAGCCAGCTCGACCCGTGAGGAACGCCAAGGGGACGTGCCCAAAATAGCACTTCTGTGTCAGGAAGTGACATAGATTAATGGCAGATCAGGCCATCTGGCATGGAGAAGACCGCAGCTCCATCTCTGGAAGCTCCCATTCACGAATATCAGCTGGCAGGTCTGGAGAAAGACCTCCACAGAGAAGTGGACCTACCTACTCACTGGTAGGTTCTTCCCCTCTGATTTTCTACCTCTGTGAATTTCACCACAAGTAAACCAAAGCCAACCAAGTCTAAGTAAAGAAGAAGAGAGAAAAACAGTGCATATGTGTCAATATCTCCCCTGCAATAGGTTGGTACAGTCCGTTATGGAAGATGGCCATGTTGGAAGATGATCTGCTATGGAAGATGGCCAAATTGAACTGACACACACCACTGGCATGTGACTCGCAATTCATTTCAGTGGGGTTTGGTAAGAATTGACCAAGATTCACAGAAGTTCTCTATTTTCAGCACAAAAGGATCTTGAGATTAAAACATTTGAATGCCACAGAAATGCCAAATGGCCAGCACATCTATCCAGGCTCAGGGCTTGGAGTACTTTGCTCTTAAAAGTCTTGGGTTCGAACCCCCATGAATTCAGCCATCTTGAAGCACTTTAAGGCATTGTGCATCTTTCCCTACTGAGAACTATTGTAACTACTGAATTTGGCTGGTGAAGAATGGGTAAGAATTTCAGTTTGGATTGTTTTTAATAGTAAATAAATTTATTACTTAATAAATTTAAAAGAGGGCCTTTTTAGCAATGGCACCAAGCATGGAATGATGCCTGTGCTGAGGCCCATCTGGCCCCAACACCACCATCTTGCCGGCACCAGGTTAAAACTGCCTTCCACACCAATGCATTTAATCGCATGTCTTTTATTGAAATCATCTGTGTTGCTTAACCAGTTCTAAATTTTGTACATTGGAATTGTACGCCCTATTTTACTGTATCTGTGATTAATACTGTGTTTATATTTTACTGCCATCTGTTATTGTGGTTGTTATTATTCCTATGATATGAATTGCTGTGAACTGCCCAGAGGGCTTCAGCTATTGGGTGGTATAGAAATGATATGAATGAATGAATGAATGAATGAATGAATGAATGAATGGATGGATGGATCTAGACACCAGATTGGTCTTATCCTGTTCTGCTGAGATTTGTGGCTTCAAGGGAAATGGGTAGATGACCAAATATAGGTCATCCTCTTCCCATAAGGATACAATGGATAAAAACCCACTAAGCACGGTTATGCCAAGTGAAATCTGATTTATGGACATAAGATTTCAGGATCTGATAGCAGTGGATGAGAAACAGCCATCTCTGCTTGACAAACTATAGCCACTATTGGTTAGAGAAGGTAATATAAGAACCAGTCAAAAATTATCCTGACCTGGTACAAGGCGATGCCTGATTTTCTTCTAAACACCCCCGATACATCCTTCCACGTAGTCCCGAGGAATGCCAACATCCTTGCTTGGCCCGAAGTCAATTTGTCGACGCTGTACGGACCACATCCACTGCCGGTGCCAACATGAATTTCATCTTCTCACTGGTGTGCTACAAGTTCTGTGTGTCAGTCCCAGAGGTTCATGCATTATTCAGGGCTTCTAAAACAGCTGGGGAAAGTCGAGAAGAGAGACAGAGCAAGCACAGTGCGTGTTTGGTATGCTGAAGAGAAAAACCTTGGTTTAACCATGAAGGCTTTGAGCCATGCCACCTCCTGAGAGATGGAAGGCCCTTCAGCCAGTCTGCTATAGTTATGAGAACAGAAAGACTCCTGCATGATTCCATTTCATGAGCCATGAATGGCCCTGGTTGGTATCTTCCACTCCAGATACACAGTTGCTCTATGACTCAGAAGCCACTTGCCTCTCAGATCTACAAGAGGATCTAAGTCAGGGCTGGCAACTTTGGAAGGACCAGTGGCCCTTTTGCCTCCACACTCAAATCCCCCTGGAGACCACTGACCAATGGCTGCTGGGATTATTATACTGGTACCTGCAATGGCTGCAGATTCTCAAGTAAATCTAAATAAGATTCTTTACAAGCTAGGTCTCATCCCTTGATTGCTCCAAAAGCACTATAGACAGTGCTTTAAAAGTGTATATGGTCCACTCCAGATATAAGAAAATGATGTGGAGGAGGTAAAATTGTGATCCTGTCTTATATGGGATCACAGCTCCCATAGCAACTAGGGATGTGTGACAATTTTGGATTCTCTCATTTGCTTCCTCTTGTTTTAAATTCAGTTCATCTTGAACTGTGAGAATTTCTGCAGTTGTAAATCCAGTTCTTCCTGAACGTAGTTGTTTTATTCCAACCTAAAATTCTGAAGAAAATCCACATGCACTTTCCTAAAACATGCCTTTTGGTATGCCATTTTGCTGAATACACACATTTTTGCATGCATTTTCCAAAGTAATGCTTTGTATACTTTAGTTTCATTTAGATTTCTTTGCAGGTTTTCCATACAATCCAATAGCCAAAGTCCTTTTAGCAGTTCACAGAAGTTTCTCTGCATTCTTTTTAGGGTGGGAAATGTCATTGTAAAATTCAGAGAAATGCAATTTTGGAAAGATAACCAAGCTTCACGTCACAGAGTGTTTCACAGTGTGAAACGCATCCCCCATTTCTGTCAGCTGTAAAATTTAGAGCAGGGGAAGCTAGCAATCCGGGTTGTCAACATGGTCAAATTTGCTACACTCATGACTGGAAAAACAGCCAAGCAAAATAGACTACTCTGTTTTTCTGCAACAATCTGTCCATCACTGTTAGTGGAACACACACACACACACACACACATCCTCAGAGCTTTAGCCCTAAAGCTAAAGGTAGGTTTTATCTCTGCTTCCTCCCACACAGCAGTCGCTTTAACAATTTCCTCTGATATTTCTGCCCGTATTGTTCATGCTGCAGAAATCAGTTGGGCCACCAAGGACTTCTCGAGATTGAAGCTATTCCATTATGAAGACGCATATTCCACTGAAAACTGGAAAGAATTCTGATCAACCCTCTGTGGACTTCACATTAAATGTGGAGGATGCTGGCTATTATTTAGACCGCAGCATCCATCAATCTCTTTTCTGTCACCACATGTTGCAATGCAGGAGGAGGAGGAGGTGCCTGATGTCTGCATCAGCCTAAGCACTGGGCTCTGCTGTGACTGTGAAGCTAAGAGAATCAAATGTTGGTGAAATGTCAGGCATTGTTTTATACTGCTAACTCCCACCTGAAAGGGAAGAGGCAGCATGGTCTAGTTTCCCCATCACTGCAACCCAGCTGGACAAAGGCTGCTGGGGAAAGGGCCAGCCCTACGCCGAGCAGAAGGAAGCCACTGCCCCGGGCTGCAGAGGTGTGTTTGTGTATGGCAGAGGGTGCAGAGGAAATGCTACGGGGCGGCCTGTGTCTGTGTATGGCAGAGGGTGCAGAGGAAATGTTATGGGATGGCCCACGAGGACTGGGGCCTCAGATCATTCCTTTGGAGCCCTGAAACTCTGGGACAACCACTGCCCTGCTGTCCATGGGCAGCAATAAAGCTCCGGGGCTCTGGTGGCCTCTGTTACATCAGATTCCCCTTGCAGGCCTTTGGCCAAAAGCGCTTCATTCACATAGCTCCCTGCCGCACCTTCTTTTCTGGAATCAGATCCATTCCTCTGCACTTTTTAGAGGTATCCTCAAGAGAAAGGCTTTCACAAGACTCAACACACGTGCAAAGGAACAAAAAGGTGTTAAGCATAGGCAAATCAGCATGTGCATTTGTGTGTGTGTTTTCCCTGTGGCCCTGAGCCCCATGTCTTGTCTCTGCCAAACAGCATCTCTGGGGTGGAGTGGGGCAGAAGCCATTGCAGAGGAGGGGGCTAATGTTGCTCAGCACGGCGGCTTCGATCCAGACTCAGCCTATGGCTTGTTATTCTCAAGAGGCGGAAGGGGGACATCAGGAATTCTAATCAAGGCTCCTCATTGATTCCAAGCACAATAGTTCTGGCCTATCCTTCTATCCAGGCACGAGCGACGGCTCCTCGCAGATGTCTGTATGCCTGTGCCCTGATAGAGATGTTCGGGTAAGGCAAATGAGCAGTGGCATTGCTCAGAAACAGCATAATTCCACAGCTGCTGAGCAGGCTAAACATGCTTGTATCCCCTGGGGTGTTCTCACAGTGCAAGTTGACCCACCCCTTCCAAACAGCTTGTCTGATGACATGCTGCGGCGCGCAGTCTGCCCTACTGAGGGGTGGGGGGATGCCACAGCTGAGCAGCTGTCCCACACCGAGGGGGCTCCCCTGTCCCTGTCTTCCTGGCAAAAGGGGAATGCTTCCGTTGAGACAGAGAAGCATCCTCAATGCAGCTGATGGCACAGGCTAAATTTCTCCTCTCTTCTTTTCATAGGGAAGCCTTTGTCCTTGAGAAAGAAAGCCATCTTTCTGAGCTGGCCTGAGAAGGTGAGACACCCCAGGGTTTGGAGATCTTTCTGGCCTCTCCGAGTCGTCTGCCGGAATTGGGAAACCATGTTCTCCCAAGGGCTAATCCATCAGGGATGCTATCTGGTGGTGGACAAGGCCGAAGCTAATGATGGATGGGTCAGAGCAAAGATCGGTGGTTCAACTCTTCTTTGTTTCTTACCCACCTCTTTCTTTCGGCCACCTCATTCTCTCATCCTGCCCTCTTCCTCTCTGTCTAGTGGGATGCTGGGAAAAGGAACGTTCACTTTTCCAGAGCTCTGAACACAGAGGGTTTTGGAAATTGGACCAAGGGCTGAAAGTTGTCCACTCCTGTTTTCAGAGAATCGCCATGAATATTTGGCAGAAAAATCTAAAGGTTCGTGCTTCAAGGGATAAAATGGGGCAATTTTGAAGGAAACTCCGAGAGTCTTGTGAAAGCCATGGTTGATTAACATATGAGAGCACACTGACCGTGTGGAACAAGGGTGGGCAGCCTGTAGGATTGTGTGAACTACTGGGAAGCATTGTGTTGCTGTTGATGATGTTGATCTTGTTGTTGTTAATGATGATTTATTAGATCACCAAATGGGTTTGGGCATTAAAGAAGACTGAAGGGTATCTCTGAGCACAAGCTTGGCCCAGGATTTTTTTTTCTGAGCCCTCACTAGTTGGGTGTCCATGGGACCCCTTTTAGAGAGTATAGTCCGCTATTGGAAGGGCAGTCCTGACCAAAGTTGGTTTAAAGGTAAGGAACTGCTGAGAATTTACATATTTTCAGGTATCCTTTGCTCTGACAGCTTCCAATTTGTGGACTCAGAACGTGTGCAAATTCGTTTCCTCAAAATGAGCAAATTGGCCCAAAATATGCAAATCCCCCCTCCCCAAGTGTGTGTTTTCATGCTTTGTTCTATCTTTTCACCTATTTTTCTTTTAACTGCATTTTACTGCAGCTAAACTTGTACAAAGAGAGGCAAAATTTAAAAAGTAGTCTGCAGGCCCTTTGGACTCTGCATGGTCTGAGACGCCAGCCCACTGTGGAATCCTGGGACAGACGGCAAGAACACTGGAGATTTGAGTCTGTTGTGAATTCTCCAACATATTAGCAACACTGGAACAGCAGAATGAAGAAGCCAGCACACAAATCGCCGGGTCCCCACGATGGTGAGATATTCTGTATTTCTCTCTAATTTCTAATCCCCCTTTCCAAGTTTGCACCCATGCGCATAACACAGCTTGCCTCCATGTCACAGGAAGAGATGCCCTTCTTTCCAGTGATGCATTTCCTGCCTCTTCCAACCATTCACCAGTGGCTCTCGAGAATGCTCTGTCCAAAGTCAGTGCTAGGGAACCTTGGTGGCTCAACCGATCTGCCTCAGAAAATTCAGCTCAAGATGCAAAGCTGGGCTAGCCGCACCCACCCTACTGCAAGCTCGGCTGGGGACATTCGCAAGAAGTCCTGCAGATCTCCTCTGGTGGGAATGAATTCAAACCAGAAGCAACGGAGAATTCCGAGCACTGTGTATAGGCAGTGAATAGTGCAAGAGACAGAAGTATCTTTTACACATCACCATCTTCCTCGCCTGCTGCTTTTAATATTTAAACCAAAGGGATGAGTGACAGGAATGGCCTAGGCCAAGGCCTTTCTCTCCTCCCCTGTAGTTATCTCTCTGATGCATTGTCATGTCTAGATGGATCCTACGTAGGTCTCCAAAGGCCTCTTGATAATGGATATTATACTTGGCGATGATCGCAGTTGAAAGCACCCAAAAATTACCAGCTTTCCTTGCCGGGTAATTTGTTATTTTAATGCTGTCAACCTGCAGAAATAGATTTATTGTTATTAATAATAGTGATTTGCCACATTCTGCTAGTTAAATTACAGAGCTGTATAGTTAGTTCAACAATAAAGCACTGGAAGGGAGCCAAGAGATCGCTCATAGCATTTTGAGTGCAAAGGCAGTTGGCACCCTTCCCATTAAGGCATTAAAATTTGAATCAGAAACATAACAGATGCAAAACAAAACATGAGCTGGCTCGCGGGGATTATATAGAAACAATTAAAACAAATTAATTACCAGTTATGTTAATGTTGTGCCGTGTACATGCAGAATGATTACCAAACCCATGGCTGAGATCTTTAGAAGATCAGAAAGTCAAGAAGAATCCCCCAGCGGGTTCAAAAGACCATCCTGGGCGACAGCATCTATAATGCCCTTCCAAGAAGTGGAGGAAAAGGGGTGGGAAATTGGGAAGGAAGCAGAACTAAGCAGGAGATATCTTTGCTAGGATGTGATGGATGCAAATCCATAATGCAACAGTGAAGCCTGGATGTAGATGCCCATCACCCCAGTCCAGATTCAGGATCCCCAAAGGGGAGCCCAAAAATCCAAGAAAGGGGTTTCATTGCAATAAATCCATGTTCATTTCCTTCAAGAGGAACAATTCTTTTGCAAAACAAATGGGTCTTAATCCCTCATTCACAGCCAAGACACCCCAAATGATTTTGCTTTACAACAGGGAACAAGATAAAGTTGAGGTGGGAATCCGTTTTCTTCAAGGACTTTGAGGATCATGGCTAAGCTCAGAGAGAACAGAGAAGTCTGAGGGAAGGCCATGGCAGATGATGTTATCCCCCTTGCTAATAAAAATCTTCTGATCCCAGGCACCTTGGCTCCACTGTACCACAGATGAAAATACAAGGATACAACCCCAAGTTTCTGAGAACCCAATTGGCTGTGATAGAGAGAAGTCCTTGGCCAGAACTTCTTACCTGAAGACACAGTGAGGGCACACCCAACCAGAAGCACAGCATTAGGAAGGAGGAGCTCTGGGGATTCTGTGGTACCTGTATGTTTTGGTCCAAGGGCAAAAAGGAGTGATGAGGATGCAGTCAAGCATGCCAGCATCTTATCTAGTCATACCCAAGAGGGTCTAGCATGCTAGCAGTAGCCTGGAAAAGATGGCAGTCCATGCTGGAAATCGCATTTCCTTTCCCAGACAGGAACTTGTCTATAAATATTCAAAACACACTATTTAGACTCATTATAGCAAGGAATACAAATGTGAAATTTGCTATAGTGAAGAGGAAAGAGGCATTTGCCAGGAAAGCATCACCTGATCTGTAAGGTCCATTTCATGTGAAAAGAATACATTAGTGCCAAGGACTCCGGGCTCCAAAAAACTCCTCATGGTGTGGCAATGCGGCAGCATATGGATGTTTATGCAGAAGTAAGTCCCATGGAGTTCAATGGGCTTTAGCTGCAGAAGAACCCTTTGTCCGATGTTGGGGAATCCATCTGTGTACCCCATACTGTAGACTGTTGATATTATTACTTTCAGGATGGCACTCAGATATCATTGTTATCGCATGCAATCATCTCATTACAAGGGTACCTTCACTCCCGTGTTCTGGGGACTGGAGGGCCTGGCCGTGGGAAAGAAGGAGAAGGAAAGAGCCAGATTTCCTTGATGCTCTGTATGTCTAGACGGAATGAGCTTCCTAGTGTTGTCCTTAAGAAAACAGCAGTGCTGCATGAGCTCCTGCAGTGAGCAGGTCAGATGAAAACCCAGAGTTGGCCAGAACATCATCCCTGTTAGAAGCTAGACCTTCCAGTCTGCCTTGGTCAGTTGAGACTGCAGCAATGTTCTTTCTCCATGTAGCTCCATGCCCTTGATGATGGCTCCGCAGTTGCAACTGGTGTAAAACGCAGTAGCCTGATGGATAACAAGAATGAGAACACCTGAACATGTAACCCTTTAAAGCGCTCCAACAGCATGTGCTGACTGGGACTCCTCCACCTACTCAGAGCAACAATCGAATAAAGTAGGTAGTCCTGTCTGTCCGAACTCCGAGGACATTCCACATGGGGCCTCTCCAGAGAGGAACCAGGGACACGGAAGAGGCGATCCGCACCTCGAGGAAGGGGCTGGAGCCGCCTCTGCTGGATCGGGGCAGCTCTCCTTTGATTTCCCGTTCCAAGCACACCGCTTCAGCAAACCGTCCCAACCCGGACCAGCGGCTCATTTGGATGGACCCATCGCTTGGTGTTTGAGGCACGGAGGGGTGCTGAGGACATGACAGGCAGTGTGCAGCTCCCCCTCCCGCTGCCTTCCCCCTCCCGCTGCTCTCCCAGCCTCCCAATTATTACAACAGAATAATCAGCATGGAAGTGCCGGGCGAGCACACGGGTAACAGCATCGCTTTAGGGGAAGGCAAGCAAAGTGAGTGGCAAGGCTAATTACTGCAGTGGCGTCCCTCAAACCGAGGGAGCTGAGCAGCAAACGGTCGCCTGCGCTTTTCAAGATCTTTCAAGTGCAGTCTTGGGAGACATTAACCATCACAATAAACACAGCGGTGCCCTCGGAGCAGAGCTGAAGAGCCATCTCTGGGATGAGAGCCACACAGGGGGTCGGCCGATCGCCTCCTCCCAGCCTCTTCCCAGCCTTTCTGTGGGCAGGATCCTAGCAAAGGCACAGAATTGAGCCCGGACACTGGCAAGGAAATGACTCGGCCCAAGTCAGTCCTTGGATTTTAGCAACCCCCAAGCAAATGTCCTGCGTCTTGGGGGAACATGGAGAGCTGGCCTGACCAGCTGCAGCCCACACAATCCGCAAAGCGATGTCGGCTGTTTGGGCAGAGGCTGCTCGGGGGTGCCGGTGACAAGCCCCTGCCCCAGCTGTTCCTCCTGTGATTTGCCCCACATGTGCATGGGTGCCGGTTGCACAAATTGTTCTTCATAGGCAAATGCAGCCCCCAAAGTGTGTGTGCTGTTTGTGGGGCGCATTCATGAACCCCTAGAACATTTTGTCCCCTTGAGCAAAGGTTTCTCTCTGGCTCCATGATCTAACAGTGTGAGTGCTGCATCATGTTGCGTCAGCTAACAGAATTAAGCACTGCAGGGTGCAACCGTACGGTCTCCAGGCCTCGTTTGAGGGTTCATAGGAGAGCAGTGATTCCCAGCTCTGAGGACAGAGACAGCACTCTGAGCATGGAAGGGGATGCTGGAGATTCATCCCCCTCTCTTGCCCCCATGCAATGGAAAGAACCATGCTGGCTGGCCTGTGAGGTTGGAAAGTCCATCTCAGAGCGGGAAAGGTGGGGTGTCCCAGTGGGAAGGAAGAGCAGGAGACTGAAGTAGCCAAGATATAAGCTAACCTGACCTTCTTCCAACCTCCTTCTCTCACCCTCCCAAGTGCCCATCTAGCAAAAAGCCACCGTGATCAGAGAACAGAGGAGTAAAGACCACCCTCCTCCTCCCCACCCCCTTCCTGCTGGTTTCAGCCCAGTCAGGCATTGGATGACCAGAATCCTCCAGGTTTGGAGCCTTCCATCTTGCAAGAGGTGCAGCACACAAGATTGTGCTTCCAGTTGCAGAAAGTTTTGTTGATCCATTTATTTACACCACTTTAAAAAAAAAATACGTGTTTTTCCCATGCATGCTTCTACATTTAAATAGATTTGTGCCAAGGCGACAAGCCATTCTTCACATGCTCGCAGAAATATAGCCATGCTTTAGTGTAGCCATTTGCAGTCCAGTAGTGTGCAAGGAGGGAGCCAAGGGGAAGTCTGAAATGTTCGCATGCTCCAGCTTTGCTTTAAAATTCAAGGAGAGTGCAGGAAAGTGAGGGAGGAGTCATCACGGGGAAGCAGGAATGCCAAGGACTCCATCTGTTATCTTGCTCAGTGCATCAGAATCTCCAGCTTTATCGACTGCATTCCTTCTAGCAAATCCAGCATTTATGTTACATTCTCTTCCCCATTAATAACTTAATCGCAGAGAAGCTTCTTAATTAGACTCATGCAACCAACCCCACTCGTTTTCTTCTGTTTGTGCTAATTTCCTGAAATAATGCATCTTCTGCATGTCAATGGACTTACAGGTCTGCTTGTGGTGTTTGCCCAGGTGCCGTCCATCACGATCAGAAAAGAACAGCTCTTCTACACCTCTAAAGCACCTTTGCCTTCTTTCAGGAGGCAAAATACAGATTTTAATTAACACAAATTAATACACTCCAGTTATAGCCTGCCCTTTTCCCTCTTGTGAGGAATGGAAGTCAGCTCACCTGGTTTCATTCTGACCTCACAGCAACAACCCTGTGAAGCAGGCTAGGTTGAAAGGGAGTGACTACCCATGGGTGAGAAGGGACTAGAACCCGAACCTCCCAGTTCCAGCTCTCAGAATTCCTATAATTATGCAGCTAAAATTGCTCCAGACATGCTGAAGAGGGAGATACCAGCAGCTCTGAAGGAACCCTAATGTCTGCAGATGGACAAAACACTTTAGGAACAAAACTGGGGGGGGGGGATCATTCCCAAAATGGCCCAAGAAGAACTAGCATGGCCAGTGGGCATAGAAAGCCAGGGAACGGTTGTGGGTGGAAGAATGAAGCCCGGTGCCCTCAAAGGAGGCCTGGCTGGCTAGCTGCCTGGGACCCCAAAGCAAAGCATTGTATGCCGAAACATTTTGCTGTTCAGAACACAGATATTCCTGTTTCCGCATGCATACTGTCCAGTTGGAAAGGAAGAGAAAGCAAAACAGATTGCAATGTCCCTCATGCAAGAAGGATTCTTTAGAACCTTTAGATTCTTCAAAATCTCCACAGGAAGGCTTCTGAAGCTAGTCTGAAGCTGGGGGCGAAGGCAGCTTGCTCCTTGGCAAACTTTTTCCCACTGCTCAACCACAATTTCCTGAACTGGATTTTGCAGTCAGAAAGGATAGTCCAAGAGTTGTTGAGTGGTCCATGTCCAGACACAGGATAGGACTGTCGCTCAGCCAACAATATCATCACTAGATGGAGAGGGAAGAGGGGAAAGAAGCTGGGGGATGTTAAGGAAAAGAGCAAATGTTTGCGATCATCGCTGTAGCAAATTCACTAGGGCCTTGCTAAGCCCTAAGGAAAACAAGGAGGATGAAAGATGGCTCCCAGTTCTTCTCGAAGGCAGAGGAAATGCCTCATCCACTCACTCCATGTGGGCCTTCCTTGTTGACCTAGCCTCCACCTGGCATCCTGACTCACTCACTTCTCTAAGCAGCTTCTGTTTGCAGGCAGAGAAGAGAATGTGACCTCTGTCCATGCAAGCGTGTGACGTGGGTGAATTAGTCTGGCCCAAGATGATGCATTAAGTCTGAAGAGGACCCAGAGAGGCAGTGAAGGCCAATGGGTCCAGCTTACATGGGACCAATCAATCCATTCTCCTTCTCAGCCTGAATGGCAAATGAGCTGTCCGTGGTGCTGAGGCCTATCCCCAGAATGGGTCTGGCACAACAGAGAGCTCCTTAAAAGCTTGGCATAGAATCTAGAGTGGATACACAGCCCTCCTTACACTGGAATCACCAGCCTCAACCGGAGTGGGAGCTCTTTCCATAACACAATCCTGTCAAGTCACATCAACTGGATTTGGTGCCAGCCCTACCCTTAGGCAGAGTGAGTCCACTAACAGACGCCAGGTATGACAAAAGACACATCGCCTGCCTTGCGATTCTTTCACTTGACTGCTGCCCTGCAGTGTGGCAGAAATTGTGCAATTCGGCAAAGCTGAAGCTCATCCTCTCCTGATATAGAGAAACGTGTTGTGTTTCATCTTGGACAGGAAAGATGTGACCCTCCAGATGTTGTTGGACCATCCATATGGTCAATGGTGAAGGGTGAGAGGTCCAGTATCTTCTGGTGAGCCTCTCATTCCCATCCCTCCTCTATGAATCGGAGCTCGACAGAGAGAAAGACATTTTTACTTCCTGGGATCCACACCTGAGCTACATGGAATAGCTCAGCCATAATGGAGCAGGCACAGGATTACAGCAATGTACTCTGCACGGGGCTGCCCGTGAAGCTGGTCCAGAACCTGAAGCTAGTGCAGCAGGTGGGCCTTCATGTCATCGGGCAGCACAACTGCTGAAGGCTCCACACTGGCTGCCATCTGCCCCCAGCTCAGGCTTAGGTTCTTGTACTAATCTGAATGACCTGAGACCAGGATACTCGGCAACACGCCTTCTGCCTTATTGGCCTGTCTAACCAGTGAAGTCTTCTGAAGAAGCACTGCTGGTGGTACCTCATGGGTCAGAAGTCTACTTGCAAGCCACCGGAGGCAGGGCCTTCAAAGTGTTGGCTCCTATCATAGAAGGATGCCCTTCTAACTGGCATTAGATCACGCATGCAGGAACATTGTTTTGTCTGTAGCATCTGCTGCTCATCTTCTTCTTAGGCAAGCATTTGATGGTGATTAAGTTCCAGCCTCTACTGGATTGATGTTCCTGCTTTAATTGCAAGTGGGGGAAACATTTTAATGTCTTCTGCAGCTCCAATATTTCTTGATAAGGAGAAGTTTAAAAATACCACCATAAATACACAAAGGGGAGCTGAGGAGAAGAGCTGTACTGAATTCTCAAGGCGCACTTTGGACACCTCTTACTGGCACTTGGCCATGTCACCTTCATTGAGTGGGGTTTCCTTGTGATCCTGCCAGGTCACCCAAGACACGGTGGAATGAAAGAAATGATCAAAACCAAGCTGGGCTTATCGTTAACATAATATAGAAAGGCTCTCTGCCAAGAAGAAAATAATTTTGATCTGGCTGTCAAAGCAAGTCTCTTGTCTGGCCATTTTCCAGAATGCACTGCTTGTCTTAGATGTAGAACAAGATAAAGGAATTAAATATTCTTCACTGAGGTCCAAGAAGTTAATATGCTGTTAGATTTGGACTAAAAGCAGCGGAGGATGAAACAGATAGGAGGAGTGCTCTTTTAAAATGGCAATCTATAAAAATAAAAAAGGAGGCATGTCTGTCTGTGCATGAGATCATGACATCTACTTGCAACTGACCACACAGATTAAATCAAGCCTAGGTGCGCACCCCAAAATTGTTGGGTTGCTAAGATGAATTTTAATTTTCCTATACTCGAGGCCTGCAGCACCACCGGAGTGGAAGACTGAGTGGGGGCATGATTTGTTGCTCTCGTTGTCAGCAAAATAGCTCAGGACATCCCTACTTATATCGGTTCATTAGGACTCAATAGTCCCGCTTAAGGCAATTCTCAGTCATGGTAAGTTCAAAGGTTCACCCAGATCCAACCTGGGTTGCAAATTAAAAACTTAGACATCCAGAGTGAACCAGATTATCACAATGGACACAAATGGACCAGGATTAGGCACAAATGGACCAGGATGCAAGGATGGCGCATGAACCCATTGCCATCACTGGGCATGTAAAGGGAGGGGAACCTCCCCACATCCCTGATGGGACTGGCTCACTGCCAACTGTTGCGAACTGCCCAGAGAGCTTCGGCTATGGGATGGTATAGAAATGAAATAAATAAATTCCTAACTTTGTTCTACTTCATGTTAATACCAGTCTTCCTGGTCTGCCCAAATTGCTTTGACTATGGGATGCCACAGAAATATAATTAATTTACTGTGCAGGAGGCTCCTACCTTGAAAAACAGCCTAGAAATGATTCAAATAGCTAAATACATTTGGAACAGGAGAATGTTATTAGTCCCCTGAGCAATAATATAAATATGGGCTGGAGAGTTTGTTTTTCTTACGACACAGCATGGGGGTGTGGATCAACAAAGCCAACCCATGTCTGCCTCAACCTGCCAGTTCTGCTTTTTCTTTTTGGGTGCATTTGTGTGTGCACTTCCCCCAAATGTACACATGAATTACACACATCATTCAGATGTGTGCATTTCTCTTTCCTTGGCTACAGCATTGCTTGCATGCATTGCTCAAAGCGACACATTGCAGATGTATGCATTTTGGAAAGGTTTGGCAAATCTCACTGCAAGCTCTGAATCGTATGACCTTCACCCATGGATTGGACTCAGGGTCATGCTCAGGCCCCGGCAGTGCAACATTGGTGCATTCTCACCAAAAATGTACCAGAGCTGTCTCTTCACGCATCCCTAAGCCCTCACAGCCAAGGCACAACCCTCTTGGATGCTCCCGTACGAGAAAGGGGAAAGTCTTCAGTTTCTGAAAACAGCACAGATGAAGTGCAGAGAATGCTCAGCAATGAAGAACAGATGGGAGTAAGATTGCATGCTTTCCCTGTATACAAACTGTGAAAAATACAGTCCCATATTGATGTACAGCTCCCTGTGCATGAGAACAGGTTGACAGCTAAGTAAGATGTAAGGCAGTGTGTCCCGAAGCAAGGAGACATTTACAAATCAAAATAACTATGATCTGCGTCGTCACAATGCAATTTGAGGGACGGCCTCGACTCCACTTCCCTCTACCTACTGTATGATTATGAGCTCTCGCTCTTGCTTCCCCCCCTTCCAAAGCTATATCCTGGCATAGCTTTCCCCCATCACACACACACACACACACACACACACCCCTCTCTCTTTCTTCTGCCAACTGTTTCCCAATCCTTAGCATCTCTGCCCAGTAGATGGCACCTTTACCAAGCAGTTCTGGTATTCTGGGAAGCCTGCATGCCATAATAAATCCCAGACGTCAGTACAAAAGGCTGGGGTAATTGAGATCTTGTTCCAGCCAACACTAGCTGGAGCACACAAAGGCAGAAAGGCCTGGCACTTTGGCAGCAGAGGGGGTTCCACTGGGAGGCCCGGCAGCTCCAAGCGCGAGCTTTTGCTGAAAGCTGATAATGTGGCGAGGTGAGTGCTAACAGGCGATGGCTTGAGGTTCTAAACACAAAAATAAAACACACACCCGCTTAAGGGGACAGGAGAGATCTGGTGTGCTGCTCTCACAGAGCTCAGGCCGAGCTGGTCACTGGATTCAGCTTGCCAGCTATTTTGTTATGCAGGTCTCTGCTGTTGCATCAGCTAGCTTGCAAATGCAACCCTCTCCAAACCAGAAGAAAATGGAGACATGGGGCTCACATCTAGCTTCAAGACCTCTCCCCAAAATAAAACCTGTTCTTTGTCATTGGACAAATGCCAGCCCTAAAGATTAAAGAATGAATTTCCCATGCCTAGTCCCTTACCCAAAATAGGGTGAAATGTTTTGACTGAATGCCTCTCCACTTTCCAAATGAGTTGGGGAGTACTGGAGTGGGTGGGGAGTTCTTCCCAGCTGTAGCTCTAAATAAGAGTATGGTAAAATATTTGGGTGTCTGTCTATGCACAAGTGTGAACAAATGAAGGTTCAGGAAATTTTTAAAAAAATGTTGCCAATAAGCAAACAAGTAGCATTTGACAGACCATGAAATGCCAATGGGATGAATTTAAATATAAATCTCTGTTGCTGTTATGTGCCATCAAATCACGGCAACCTATGAATAAATGTTCTCCAGAATGCCCTGCCCTTGATAGTCCTGTAGCTGCATTGCCAATCCAAACAAGAAACGAGGAAGAATGACAAACCTACGGGCAAATCTTGTGATGGTTACATGGCATCAATTCATCTCCATCTTATGGCAATCCTATGAATGAAAGAGCACAAAAATGTCCTACCCATGACAGTCCTGCTTAGCTTTCTAAATCCAGAGCTGCAGCTTCCTTTATGGAGTCCATCTATCTCTTGTTTGGTCTTGCTTTTCTTCTGCCTTCAACTTTCCCTAGCATGATTGTCTTCTTCGGGGAGTCCTGCCTCCCCTTAAAAGCAGAGCAAATATCCAAAACAGTATCAATTTGGTGATGGTATCCATATGCCACCTATTCAAATATGGAAAGTGTTGTAAGTCCATTGATCCATTGCATTAAAGATGTCTTCTTCCATTTGGTAATGTTGTTGAAGGAGCTAACTAACTGAAAAGTCCATGTACATCTGTAAAGATGAAAGGCTGCTTAAGCATAACATTTATCTGTATTATAACCTCCTTCCAAAAAGAAACAACTGCTGGACACAGTCAAAATATGCAATAAATGTTTGTACACCTAAAGGAAGAAGGCAATCCACCAAATCGACTACCTCATATTAAAGAGATGCTGTGGTGTCCAGCAGGCATAAAATAACCTTTGTGTCAGGTAAGACACCACCTGAGATCCAGAGATGCAACAGGTAGACTCGTAGGGGGCATTACCTGGTGCCCACAGCTGTTATTCAAATTCCCAAGTATGCCTGCAGGACCAAAAAGCTTAATACCTTTGCAGTATGGTCCTCCACAGAGCAATGGGTGGGCAGTGGAGGGCGTGGAGGGCTCAAAGCCACCCTGTTGGGCAAGCGAATTCACCTCTCTATGCTGAGCTTTCTGCAGAGGGTCTTCCAAACTGAGAGCGTGAGTTTTCAAGCACTTCTCCCTGCCCTTTCTTTTCACATTCAGCTGCAAAGCCTGGAGGACTTCATCAAGCCCTCACCTTGCCACAGCAACATGCCTTTGACAGAAAGGTGAGGAATAGTACCCATCCTGCCTGGCTGTGTCAGGTTAATTTGATTAACTCTAGCTGGCTGCCTTCATGGACCAAGTGACAGAACAGCGGGGGAGAATGCCTTGTGTATGCTTAGTTCATCTTTGGCAGATGTCAAGGTGCATTCCCAAACTTGTCACTCATCAGAGCGCCCTTTGGATAGTTTATTATTTCATGTAATTATGATTACTACATACTGATACGACGCTGTTATGAGTAGCCTCTGGCTGCCATCACTCACCCAGATTTGATGTGGAGGGATAAGTTGTCAGGAAAGCACTGCTGGCTGTGAAATTGCTATGCTGCTCGGGAGGAAAGGGGGAAGAGGGAGAAGCGGGGCTGGTTAGTCCCATTCTGTCCCCTAAGCTTGTGCTCTGACATGGAGACAGGGGCAGAGCACTCATTCAAACCCCTTTGAATCCAGGAGAGCCACCTGGAGGATTTGACCCAGATTTAGCCTCACCTAGAACAGAGGGATTGGCGTCAGTGGGACAAGTTAGGCCTAGTTGAGCTAAATCCCACTGATTTGAATGTGTCTTCGCCAAGTCTGAGTGAATCGGGACCCAGCCCAAGTGGCTGCAACTTAAGATCAGCACAGCTTTCCCTCTGAGCTGCCCTTCCGGCTTCTTCACCATGTCACCTTGCCTTTTCCAAAGCCAAAAACATGCTCACCTTGAACAGGTAAATTAAGAAAGCAGTACTTAATTACATGGGGCAGTGACTGTCCACACACCCCTTACCTATGGTTTTAAGAAAGCTACAGGAAAGGAGTAAAGCAAGAGTCAGGAAGCCACAAAAATGGGATCCTCCAACTGGTAAAGGTTCCCCACCCCAGCATTCTGCAGTTGTGTGGGAGGGGAAAAAGATGGTCTGGATGTATCTCCTTGTGCACACATTGTCCTTATTTCTACATGCAAATGAAGGGCTGGGATCAGCCTCCTTCTCCATCCTGCCCCATAACCACTAGCCAAGTAGGTACTTTGCAAGGGCATGGGCTCATCATGGCCACACCCTATGGCTACTCCTCCAAGGAGGATCCAAATGTGTCCAATAACCACAGTGCCACTCCCAGTAGCCAATGCCATCTAGATAGTCCTAAGAGCAGACTGGAAGGGACTGACCCCCGTACGAAGAGTGCAAGGAGCCCGCTTGTCCATCGTCCCTTTGAAAGATGGGCATGAGAATTTAGAGATTCCACACCCCACTGCAGCTTGCTTTCCCGACAGCTTCGCTGCTCAGTGCCGTTTCTCTCTCCTTCCGCCACCGTCATGTCTAATCAGTCCACTTTTATCTGGGCTGGAGGAGCACTGAAGCTGCGGCAGGCTCATGAACTTTCTCCCGCAGGTGCTGGCTGGCTTTCTTGCAAAAGGTTCTTCTTTTCTTTTTTCTTTTCCACTCAGCTGAACTTCCACGGGAGACAGAGCCAGTCGCATTTTGGCAGGGTACTCAGATGGTTGTAACACCTGTGGATGTTCAGGGGAACATGTCGGCCACTGGCCTGCAGCCCACTGGGGGTGTCTTGCTGGCTGGCTCCATGACGCTATCCTCACCTGCACCCAATGCCAGTTCCAGCTTTGTTGGAGTCTTTGGGCGAGTCTAGAGTCTTCTTTCAGCAAGACGAGCCTTTCATCATCCTGAGAACCTGTTGCTTCCGCTTCTCATCCTCCTTCCATCATTGCCACCACTTGTTCTTTGGATGAGCAAAGACTCGGCAGGCATACACAGGCTGCGGCACCTCCCATGCCTCCCTCTCGCCACTGCCATCGTCTGGGACAGGGCAGCAGGGAGAAGAAGAGGCACAGGAGTTCCTTCCCAGTGGTCTCCTGAAAGGTTGTAGGCTCTCAGCAGGTATCCAGCCATGCCTACTCTTGGGACACCAGCCCTGTCTGAGCCACATGAACATTCAGGGGCTTTGCTGAGGAGCTGGGCAGGAGGAGGTCTTGTGCCCACCCTGCTGGAGGGATCCTGTGGGCAGCCGGCTTGCCCCCGTGTGTCCTGAGTGCTGGACTGGATGGGCCTTGGGTCTGATCCAGCAGGGCTCTTCTCATGTTCCTATGACCAGGGCCGCCTTAGCGCGTGGGCCTGGTGGGCACGTGCCCGTGGGCCTCATACTAAACTGTGTATGTTAACCCTTGGAAAATTGGAAAACTTCCAAAATTAACAGTAGTTGCAGTTGTCATAGGGGCTCCGGTACACTGCTTTGCCCAGGGCCCATCATGCTGTTCAGGCGGCCCTGCCTATGACCATGCCATGCTTTGCATTCCAGAAATGGAGCTCCAAAAGGGATCCCCGATTCTCCTAAACTGACCCCATCTTCCACAAAATCCTTAAATGGCTTTCTTCATCCTCTCCGGCTAAGGCCAATCCTTATTTTTTCCAAAGAATGATCATGAGACTTGTCAGCAGAACAATGCATTTTTAACAGATTAATTTATGGGGCAGGGCAGGCGTGACCTGGCAGACTGCCTGCTGGACTGGGCCTTTAGTTCTGTAGTTTGCATAGAGGCTTATGGCCCAGTGAGCTCACCTAAGATGGCTGCTGTCCGCACGGAGCCTGTTATAAAGTAAAGGGCATGAATCAACATGGGTACAGGGCCAGTCTGCGTTTGGGAGACTGGGTTCTAGTCTCCACCTGCCCACCAAGATCCTTGGGTTTCAAAGCATGGAGCAATGCTTTGCGCCGGTTTCACTGGCTGCCAGCAAAAAACAAAGCACCCCACGAAAAGAGATCAAGAAGGACAGGTGATACTACTACGAAAAATGGAAAAATAGCACTATTGATGATTAATAATATTATTTACAAATAGCTTATTGATCATGAATGATATACGAATAATTCATTAATAACATTAACAACAAGAAGAAACAACAGTAACATCCATAAAAAAAAACCTGCCTTTTCCTGGCTCTTACCAGATTCTGAAATTTCTGCGCAGGGAAGCTTTTTCTGTTACCTTGCACCTGGGTCCTTGTTCTCTTAGCCCATCTGAAGCACTTTGTGTGGCGACTTTGATCCTGAAGAGCAGAGTATGAATCAGCAGCAGCAGCAGCAGAAATGCACTGCCACTGGGGTGCCTAGAAACATAGCTGGCATCCTGACGGGTCTCCATCTTCTAGGTCCCACTTTGCTGCCATCTTTCCTGCCTCAAAAAGCTTCCCGCCTGTCTCTTTCAAATTAAGGCCACAGAGAGTGAAGGCAGCTCTTGTCCTCGGAACAGAGCAAGCGGTGGGACGGGGCCGTCCGCGGGGCACGGCTGGCTCGGCTCTGCGCCTTTACAGCCGTGCTTAATGGTCATGAAAGATGCTTTGGCAAGCCTCCCCCATTCCAGGCTAAAGTGCACCGTGCCTGCTGACAATCGGTTGATCCACTTAAACAAGGGCACAGAATTAGACAAGGGCCCGCCGTGATGCCAAAACCTCTCCAGGCACTCATTCCTCTGTGCCTTGCCAAGCCGTGTGCTTTTCGACTTAATGAACCTGCCAGCTCCGAATGTGGCATCAGGAATCAGATGCAGAGGAGAAAGGGAAAGGAGAGTCGCAAGGCCTCAGAAAGGCCTCACACTGCCATCAAAGTAGCTTTGGCTCCAGCAGGATACACAATAATAAGAGCATGCCTTGATTTATTGAAGGGCAAGGCAAATGACAACAGGAGGAGGAGAACAAGCTTTCCCCACTGGCCTAGGAGGCCAGAATCTCTCCAGTTTCTAACCTCCTTGAAATTGCTCTTAGACCTCACTGTAAAAGGGAAGAAACATAAATTTGGGTTTTCTCTTGGACAAGACCGAACAGATTGGTGTTACCTTTTGCCCACCTTGGGGTAGATGTTCCCCTATTCCTGGGACTGTAACCTCTGCAGAATGAATGGTAACATTTTTCCTCCTGTGCTTTTCCTACCAAAAGGTTTTGTTTTGGGAAGGAAAAAAAAGATGTATGTCACACTTTTACAGAGTCTGATCTCTGTGGTTGCAGATTTGAGGGTCTAAAGGTGCCAAAGTACTCAGCTGCAAACCAGGATCAGGCAGAAGGCAAGGTCTCCACAATCCAGGTCACAGACAAACAGATACCCGCCCCTCATAATTTTCCCCTCTTGCTTCTGGCTGAAGATGCTTTTCTAAAATTTTGCACGAGAGATCTTATCCCTCATATTTATAGCAGTGCTGCAAAATATTGTGTCTCCGAATAACCTAAGAGCATCTTCTTCATCACAAGGTCTTTGTTTGGATTTGTTTTGCTCCATGTACAGTTGGCAGAGCGTTGCGTGATGGAAAACAGATCTCTCTTGCCTCCAGGGAGCAGGGAAACATCTGCTTTGTGCAACTCGGCCCCTGAAACCATTTAGCATCTGTCTGCCTCCAAGAAGCTATTTCTTCACAAATTTCTACCCCACTCAAAATGTAAAGCCACCCAATTCCCCCCCCCCCGCCCCGTGTGTCCTTTTAGTACAAACAGAAGCAGGCAGAAAATCACATGTCATAAATAAATGAATATACAATAAAAGAAGAGTAGAAAAATGAAAACTGTGTTCAGAGAGAAACCAGTGAGGAGCAAACTGCCCTTGGCTGAACTCGATTCCCAGTTTCCTTGCAAGGTGAAGAAACGGGGGTGGGACTAGTCTGGTTATTGGCACAATGCAAGCAAGGGCCAAATGTTAGAACCATTCCCAATTGCAGCAGGTTGCCTCTCCCCACCCTCTTTTCTCTCCCCACAGTCAGTGGCTTTCAAGGGTTCTTGGGCAGGCTGGATCCAGTGGGCCTTGTCCCTCAGTGAACACAAACCAGAAGTGAAGTGTGCAATGGACAAATGAGTAGATCATTTGTGTTGGTTCTGTTGCCAGTATACCCCCAAGCACTTACTCTGTTTTTCCACTCCTGACTAGCTATGGAGAAGAAATTCACTTGCTTTGCATTTTCATGCAAACATCCCAAGTTTCACACTTTCTGACCGACAACACAAACCAAAACTCTGCTATCGTTCAAAATTCATATTTCTTTGAACATTGTAATATTGTCCAGTCCATAAATAAGTGCAGCAATATATCTCATAGGAAAGAGCACAAGTAAAAAGTGAAGTGCAGTGAATATATTGCTTCAAAATGCACTTTGTGCACATCAGGCAAAATTGCATACCAGAAAGAATGTGATTTTTGGAGGAAAAAGTGCATGCAAAAATGTGTACCTGTCTTCATTCAGACATTAGACATATTCTCAGTGCAATCTGGATTTCAGCTTGGAAATCTGGATGTAAGATTGGAAACGTTCTCTATGTTTGGGTTGAAAGGAACTAAATATTAAAAATGGTCACTAAGAGAACAGCCACATTTTCTCATGAAAGGCTTTGAGGTCCACCTAGTGATGAAGCTCAATAACTCTGCTTCAATAGAGAATTCTGCATCAGGAAAACTTTGGTCCCAATCCTGACCAGATGCAATGAGGCTAAGGACCACCTAGCAGCTAAACAATGCGCAGGCACTACTCCGTTAATAGGCTAAACCAAAGCATTAGCTCAGCAAGGCACTTCTTGTGTTCTTCTAGATCCAGAGAGTTCATTGGACTCAGCCAAAACCAGGGTAAGGTTGGGGTTAGTATCACGTCAGACGTCTTTCCAGTTCAGAAAGTTATATTCCGTCATGGGACATGATATTTTTCCCATCATGCCCATTTCTAGGGATACACGGGAGGAAATTCTGGATGTCAAAATTCCTTCCGGTTCTGAAGATGGTAACTGCAAAGGCCGAGGTAGGGATGTGTTGTATAAGAGAATATGTAAGGCTGTGCAGATATAGAGGCATTCTGAGAGCACAGTTACTTCTTCGTGATGGTTGTGAGCCATGCAGTCATAGTGGGCTGTGGCATTTCCTTTTTGTAAATCAAACCCTCACCAGGTACAAACACCAAAGACAAATATGGACAAAATTTGCATTGAAAAAACAGCGATTTTGAAAAAGCAGTCCCCGAGTAGCTTTTATCTCATCCTTTCTTCCCATTCTAAATGCATTCCAACCATCAAAACCATGCCAGGACACCGCGTTTTGCTAACCCTAACCCTACCCTGGTGCAAATCCCTAACCCTAATATGGGCAGATGTTCCAGTCAAAGTAATGCGATTTTGAAAAAGGCTTCCCCTTGTAGGTTCTTCTGCACATCTCATTCTTCCTTCCATTCTAAACGCGTTCCAACCATCAAAACCATGCCAGGACACCTCGTTTTCCTAACCCTAACCCAACCCTGGCACAAATCCCTAACCTTAATATAGGCAGATGTTCCATTCAAAGTAATGCGATTTTGAAAAAGGCTTCCCCTTGTAGCTTTTTCTGCACATCTCATCATTTCTTCCCTTTCTAAACGCGTTCCAACCACCAAATCCATGCCAGGACACCTCGTTTTCCTAAACCTAAACCAAGCCTAGAACAAATCCCTAACCCTAATATGGGCAGATTTTCCATTCAAAATAATGTGATTTTGAAAAACTCCCTAACTCTGACATGGGCATATGTTGCATTCAAAATAATGCGATTTGGAAAAAGCCTTCCACGAGTAGCTTTTTCTGCACATCTCATCATTTCTTCCCTTTCTAAACGCGTTCCAACCATCAAAACCATGCCAGGACACCTCGTTTTCCTAACCCTAACCCTACCCTGGCGCAAATCCCTAACCCTAATATAGGCAGATGTTCCATTCAAAGTAATGCGATTTTGAAAAAGGCTTCCCCTTGTAGCTTTTTCTGCACATCTCATCATTTCTTCCCTTTCTAAACGCGTTCCAACCACCAAATCCATTCCAGGACACCTCGTTTTCCTAAACCTAAACCAAGCCTGGTACAAATCACTAACCCTAATATGGGCAGATGTTCCATTCAAAATAATGCGATTTTTAAAAAGTCTTCCCACTGTAGCTTTTTCCGTACGTCTTATCATTCCTTCCCATTCTAACTGCGTTCCAACCATCAAAACCATGCCAGGACACCTCGTTTTCCTAACCCTAACCCTACCCTGGTGCAAATCGCTAACCCTAATATGGGCAGAAGTTCCATTCAAAGTAATGCGATTTTGAAAAAGCCTTCCCCGAGAAGCTCTTTCTGCACATCTCATCATTCCTTCCCATTCTAAACGCGTTCGAACCGTCAAAACCATGCCAGGACACCTCAGTTTGCTAACCCAAAACCTACCATGGTGCAAATCACTAACCCTAATATGGGCAGATGTTCCATTCAAAATTATGCAATTTTGAAAAAGCCTTCTCCGAGTAGCTTTTTCTGCACATCTCATCATTCCTTCCCATTCTAAAGGCGTTCCAACCATCACAACCATGTCAGGACACCTCGTTTTGCTAACCCTAACCCTACCCTGGTGCAAATCCCTAACACTAATATGGGCAGATGTTCCATTCAAAGTAATGCGATTTTGAAAAATTCTTCCCATTGTAGCTTTTTCCGTACGTCTCATCATTCCTTCCCATTCTAACCGCGTTCCAACCATCAAAACCATGCCAGGAAACCTCGTTTTCCTAACCCTAACCCTACCCTGGCGCAAATCCCTAACACTAATATGGGCAGATGTTCCATTCAAAGTAATGCGATTTGGAAAAAGTCTTCCCATTGTAGCTTTTTCCATGCGTCTCATCATTCCTTCCCATTCTAACCGCGTTCCAACCATCACAACCATGTCAGGACACCTTGTTTTGCTAACCCTAACCCTACCCTGGCACAAATCCCTAACACTAATATGGGCAGATGTTCCATGCAAAGTAATGCGATTTGGAAAAAGGCTTCCCCTTGTAGCTTTTTCTGCACATCTCATCATTTCTTCCCTTTCTAAACGCGTTCCAACCACCAAATCCATTCCAGGACACCTCGTTTTCCTAAACCTAAACCAAGCCTAGAACAAATTACTAACCCTAATATGGGCAGATGTTCCTTTCAAAATAATGCGATTTTTAAAAAGTCTTCCTATTGTAGCTTTTTCCATACGTCTCATTATTCCTTCCCATTCTAACCGCGTTCCAACCATCAAAACCATGCCAGGACACCTCGTTTTCCTAACCCTAACCCTACCCTGGGGCAAATCCCTAACCCTAATATGGGCACATGTTCCATTCAAAGTACTGCGACTTTGAAAAAGGCTTCCCCTTGTAGCTCTTTCTGCACATCTTATCATTCCTTCCCATTCTAAACGCGTTCGACCGTCAAAAC